GGTAGACCTACATCGAGAAATTATAGACTTCATTACTCCCAAATTTTTGATGGGAACTATATACAAATCCCACTATAGTGACGTTTCTGATTAGTCAAAGTCAGGCAAATTCGTGCGAATTTCATGACATTAGAAAATAGAAAAAAAACTAAGTTACTTAATACTAAAAAACTACAAATTAAGATTTAAAATGAGCTTCTAAATTTGGATGGATCAATTTAATACGCAACTGCCGCATGTTTGACTTACGTAAGTTCAAAAAACACAGATAGTTAACTATTCTCTAGAATGCTATATGGATTATATATCTATTTTTATCATAAAGCTGTATATATATTCATTTGCCTAAATCCAATCCAAAGTCTATAGCTATGCGTTTAATCACAGAGTAAATCACAAATATGTTTGAGGAAGGTGGGAGTAATGCAAAGGTCCTATCGTCATTTTTGGATTTTTAAATATGACGTAATGATTCGCAGAGGCGTACGATTTAAATGACTTACAGGACGACGAAAAACAACCTACAAACATCTATTACTACTTCAGTTATTGAAAATATAATATGGTTTTTGATTGCCCGGCATTAAACCAGAAACGATAATTTGCCCTACCGTCTTCTTCTACTAATTCAATCCAAGCCCGTGTTAAAATTTTGATCAAAAAAAGCCCGTGTTGAAATTTTGATCAAAAAAAGCTTCTTAAAGTGGATAAAAGCTATCAATTTTTATTCATGAAAAAGTCACTCAGTACGCCAAAAATGTTATATTTTTTAATGTATTTCGCAAAGGCTTGCAACGAATGGAAGTGTCGAAATAGTCAAGAGATGACTTCCTTCAGTTGTGGCATCAGGTGTGACAGTATCAGATTTCAACGAGGAATATTCAAATCAGGTTAAGAAAATGAGATGACGTATGAGCATTTCCATATTTCGCGCATATACAGAGTGGGGTACATATATACACAAAAGTAGATTAATAGCTATTTGGCTCATCTTGTACATATCTTAATAGTCTTATTGCTATCATTTCACATAATTCTCATATCATTGTGTAGGTGAAGCCTGCTTTCTCATTAGAGTACGAAAGAATCGACTTTGAAAAGTTGATACCTGTTTTCTACTTATCAAGAAACCTATTTTAACGACATGGACCATGTGAAATCACGTAGCTGAGTTAGGCGACAAAATGGTTAAAAGCGACACATAAAATTGGATGACATTACACGCGCAAAACATTGACTCATCCACCAGCTTCCTCGTTTCGTTCCTGCGCGTATGTTTTCATTTCGGGACCAACCATCTGTCCGTTAAACGTTTAGTGAAAGCTGTACTGTTATGACATTGCATAATAAAACAATAGAAAAATTTTGAAAGAATCTTTTCAATTACCTGACGTGGGCCTGTTTTTGCATGAGTATGCAAAGTTAGACTGGCATCAATGTATCAAGAGTGACCGATAGACAAAATCCAAAAGCTTGCGTTGCCCAAAACCTGCTTATCAAGCAACAAGGAAAACTCATTTCCACGCATTGTATTTAGGCGTCTTTACACTTCGTTTACTGCTATACTACAGAAGACAAAATACACCTTTTCCAGACCAGCCCAAAGCCACAACTTGTAATTGTTTCCCATGGTGCACAAATGAACCCGTATCCAGAAATAATACGGCAAAATGTGGGTACTCCTGAAGTATGCGCACCACGTTGTCGCACAACCTGAACCCTAACCTGGTACACAACCTTCAGGTTGGGCGTCAATATGGTGCGCATACTTCAGGAGGTCCAAAATGTGAAATCTTACGGAAGGTATCTTAACTCGAAAAAGGTCTAATAGTTATTAATCAAACATTTTCCTCTAAAATATCGCAAACAATATAAAATTTGACAAGTAGAAAAATACTTTGAAATACAATACCAACGTGACTTCAATAAATTGAAATCGAAATGGCTGGACGGTTGAATGATATCAGAAATAAGGCTGGCTCACCCGGTTTTGCAACAAACTTTCAAGCAGTTTTTTATTCCCAACAATAATAAATCTACAAATACCCTTACATAGATACGACATTAAAGTTAATACAGCCAAAACCACGAAACGAAACGAAATTCGTTCCTCTCTTATAAGTTAAAAAAATTAGTAACTACATTTTCCTGACTGGACTGCACCATCTTATGATAAAGTTTAAATAAATTTATATATTTACCAATTTTCTGATCGATAAAATATATAGAGAGAGTAGTTCATACAATTCTTTGTTAAAATACGGGGAACTATGTCAAAATATTTAAAGCAGCAAAATCATTGCCGTCAAGCATACAGAAATATCTGCGTGACACGCCCTGTACGAATAATCGAACAGGAAGTTACGTAGCGGACACGGAAAATGTGAACTAATGCAGTTTAAGCCTACGCGTCATGTTATCGTGTTCAAGTAACCATTTCGACCAAAATTGATTTTTAAATATTCCAAGGCATAGAATATAGTTTATTTTCCGAAAACTCATACTAATAATGTAATTTCTATAAACATATAAAGAACTAGATATTATAATGCGATAAATCTGTTTTATGCTTGGGTATTAAGTACATAGATATCTTCCTGTTTAACCAATCTTCAAGAATCAAGTCTTACCTCTTCCGAAGATATTTCTTTGTGAGACTTCAAAATTACTTTCAAGCTCTACTCGAAGATGTGAGAAGACGTCTGTCAGTTCACACTGTAATTTTTTCGAAGCTGATTTAGCTTTGATATTATAATCGAAACTAAAAAGTAAAGGCAAAATAGTTTGTACAAATTTTAAAATGCAACCATTTTACTGCCTAACCCGATGATGACTGGAGGAAACATTTTTACCAGAACGGTATCTACACAATCTACAGTCGTTGTCAAAGAGTCAATCCAGAAATGATGACACACGCAGAGACAACACTTCCGGCGTTGAGATGAAGTCAGCCACAGTAACAGCACAACACAGGGCTAGGCCTATTGAAGAAATCAATACTTTGAAACAAGCAGTATAATTTATGCCACTTTCAGTTTTGAACCGTCCCAAACGCTTGGACATTCTTGAATACTGCTGTCAATGGTAGAATACATTCATTTATTGTCACATTATCTTGTTATGATGCACGATTCGGCTCTGGTTTGTCAATTTCGGTTAAAAAAGATGAATAATGTTACAACATTGTCTTGTATCATAATTTGGTAAGCTAAAATTGGTACTCCTGAAGTATGCGTACCAAGATGGCGGACACCGAAACGTGGTATGTGTACCAGGTTAGGCTATCATTTTATTCCTACTTCCCTTATTTTAATTCTATTACAAGTTCGAGAACTACCCAAGTAACGTAGTATTTGTATCTGAAATTATGGTCTAACCCTTACCTGGTACACAAACTACGTGCCGGTGTCCGCCATCTTGGTACACATACTTCAGGAGCACCCTAAAATTTTGCACCGAACAATATTACCTGACACTTTTTGCACTCAAAGTTTGCACCATAGACTAGAGTACTAGACCTTTTCTATGTATTGAGTATATTATGAGTGAATCTCTATAGCTAGTGTCTACCGGGAGTTGGCATGGCTGTGTTGGCATGTCCGCGTGGGATGCTCGAGTTCGAGTCCACTCAATTGCGCTGATAGTGCAAATTAGTTAGTCTATATCGGGCCGAACGAATTCCCGTCTTCTCATAACCAAGAGTCTTCTTGTAGAGTGTGTAAACTCTTCTTTTACGGTACGCCTATTCAAAATATTTACCTTCTATTTCAACGAGGTAGTCATAATGAATTAAATTATGTGTAACTCTCAATGTTTATGTGACACTTTGCAACTTCACTTCATTTGATTTCATTTCGCAAAATGTTCCACTAAAGGATCTCGCAAAATAGTTTATACGCTAATCTGAGCAATAGTGCTGAAGCACATTTTCAAAAAAAAACGCACGACATCATAAAGTGCTCTGAACGCGTTATTTTGTCAAAATTCCCTGAATGGAACTGTCACACATCCAAGTAAAAGACATACCTTCCGTTCGGTGAATCATTTTCAACCATTTTTTAATAAAACTAAAACACTTTGGCAATGGTGTGTCTCATTAAAAAAATGTTAACAACTAAATACCTTCTCATTCAGCAGTTAATTGGTTGTGATTACTATTACAGCTGCACCAATTTATGGTTAAAATATACCTGTCTTCTGCACTTAAATATACCTATACTACAGCAGTCCCTATTGAACCCTACAGAGTCGCATGCGCATATTTCCTCTCTGCGCTTTATGCTGCCGGCGTTACCGACAAAGTCGCGCTGGAAGCGTTGGTTTCGAGGTGGTTCACTTCCTGGCTCACTTGCACCTTTTTCAATGGATGACAAATCAGTCGCAGAGTGCCATGCGTTAATGTTACCAATTGATAAACTTTTTTTATTATTTGAGTTTATTTGTACCTTGTGGTACGAATACAGCTCATGCTTGTGATGTCAGAAAGCCCACAATTCGCTATCATTAACTAGTTATTCTGATGAATGCTTTTTATTGCGCTATTTTGTATTGCTATTATCAGTTGCTACGGATCAAACATTGGTCCAATTTTTGATACTACGGGATTAGCAGACCCACACTTTAAAATGGTAATGTCTTATTGAACCAATGCATGACCAAATGATTTAAAATGTTGCATTAGAAAAATTTAAAATTGACCAGCTTGTGTAATGTTTAAAAATTGAAAGGAGTCTACTTATCACCATCATAATTTTGATATATTGTATTGTATCTTTGATAACCATTGTTGTTAAAATTTATTATTGGGTCTCTTTATATCTGACTTTCAAATAACACACCATTTCTACTTTTCATAATTTAGCCACTTCCTCGTACATATTAGTTATAAGTTGATTTAATCCACAATCACCTCGTTATTGTGAGGTCACAATATAAAATAATTTATACACTATGAATAATAATAATCTCCCAATAATATTTAATTCAAAATATAATAATTCAAACTCATTTAGTGCCATTCTAATAAGTACAACCTCTGTGCGTCATGTTTCAAACTTGGAATCCTCGTCGAGTGCGTACAGCACAAGTAGTATGGGTTTCAAATTCATATGATCCATTGGATTTGCGGAGCACCATCCCAGTATCACGGCATAAATTTCTAAATGAAACAGGTTAGTTAACAGTTATTTTTTTCAAAGTCATATTAGAAATGCGGTTTGATATGCAATTCGACCTAGTAGTATGAATCATTAGAGAATAGAAATGGGTTTCATTTTCGCGATATGCCGAAGTTAAGCTGTAGGCCTACTCGGTACGGTTACGACTGTCGGTTCTAAGTACTACTCGTAGTAAACAGAATTAAAAGTCAGTTTATTCTTGAAAATCTATCATTGTTTAGCACATGAAAATATGCATATATATGTCATTTGTATATATAAAACCCGCTGGTTATGCATAGAAGCTATTAAAAGATTTACAGATAAAGAGAAATAGATGCAAAATTTTCAACGTTTAAGTCTGCGTACCACATGAAATGTTTTATGAGCCTACTGAATAAGTCGGATTGTTGAACAGGTTTTCATATAAAATTGGGTATACTGGGTACATACTAATCAGATAAAAACAGTGCCTAAAAAATTCCATGTACTGCTGTTCTGAGTTGTAGAGAAGCGTTGTATCGTGAGGCGAACGGTTACGGTAAGCATATGAAGTGAAAATCGTGCTATGTTCTGGGTCAGGATAGATATAATACTTGGCAGAAAGTTAGAGTATCCATATGAAATGAGATTTATACAAGTGGAATACATCCGGTGATCGTATTAAAAATTTTCAGAAAAGGTTCTTTTTTTGTATCGAACCCGCTATCTACTATTTCAGAAAATGTATGTATGTCACTACGTGAACTAAATAAACATGACGCGCGTTACATAAATCTAATTGCCAACTTTCGAAACAAGAACAATTTTGCCGATTATCATGACATTCCAAGTACGGGTTTCGCGCAAATCTGTGTGAACTCAATCCCACCACTGAACACCAGACTTTTGAGACATTAAGTAAAAACAATGACGTCTTGACCAGTATGTTCACATAAACTAAGTTTTATCACATGTCATGCAGGTTTATACCGTTTTCTCATAATCACTCCTTCCGTCATTTATTTTCAGGGAGACAACTTCCTAAAATCAATAAGACAATTGAATGTCGAAGCAAACGAGGAAAACGTTACGAGAAATCTGATATATATCCTACAATGCCAAGTACCAGATGCGAAGAATGGTCAACGTTAAGACAAATGCTGCCTTCGCAGGTTTTCAAACGGTTTATTTTCTGAATTGGCGTCTTTTTTCTGGAGTGTAAAGTTATATTACATTAGATTAGTAACTTGGATAAGCAACCGCCTAGTTACATACGTATTAGGCTATTGTATGCTGGAGAAAGTACACTCCTTTAATTTGGGCGAATTAATAGCTGAGATTAACAAGGGTCAAAGCCACTAGAGCTCCATCGCAAGGTCTTGCATAATCGACGTAATTAAACCAATTCATCCAACTTCTCCGGCTAGAATACCGGTTCTCAACCAGTGAGCCACCGAATTTTTTTTAGGTGAACTACAAATCTATTGAAAATTGCTATTAGTTAAATTTGATTGTACCAAACATGAATGATAAAGATGTTTTTTTTGCTACTAAATTGTATTTTAGTAATGTAAACAAATTGGTTTTGTTTTTCTCGTTGTTTTCCCCTTGCATGACATACTTGATAGGCCCCAGAATTTTTTGTGCAACGAAAGTGGGCCACGAAAGAAAAATGGTTGGGAACCACTGGGATAGACTATACCTATCACATACGTTCATTCCTACTAATCTTGCTGATAACCCGATGCTAATTCTTCATGCATTTTTGTTGAAACTGATTTTTTTACGAATTGTTACAAATGATTTAACCGAATTTTCGGATTTCTGCATAAAATCCACTCTCGAGATTTGATGAAGAAGCTGTTTTATTTCAGGGAAGCCCATTGAAACCATTTCCCCCTAACTGGGGCACTGGAGTGACTCCGAAGCCTCCTCTCAGCTCATCTCTACAATGTAGATTTCCAATCATCAACAGCCCTATGACGAGATATGTCGATGCCATGCATGGCACTAACAGACTGTTCAAGTTGCATTGATTTTTTGACTAAATATATTATACCCAAACAGAATTGGTATGTGGGAAGATACAATTAGCTCGACGGTGAGCGTACCAACACTATGTCGGTTATAAGGATTAAAATAGCGCGTAGGTGCGAGAGGGTTTTTGGACTCCTGGCGCTGCAGGGTCACTTAACTGCGGGTGGGCCACGGCTGGCCACACATAGCCTACGGTAAAGATGACTGGTGAACAAATATCCTTCCAAACATGGATTGATATCCCAGCAGCCGTATATTTCACCTATCCGGCATAAATACGAGACTCCGACGCAGCTGCAAGATCTATTTCGAATTTAAATACAACTTTGGGAAATGAACATCAGACAGCGATATATATATAATACCGGTACCGCACTACTTCAATTTAGGATTGGATTTTCATATTTATCTAACGGATTATAATGACGGATCATGGGACTACATTATAAATTTTTGGTAAAAAAAACTTCAGTACCACCAGTAGTACTTGATTGAACTTGCAGTACATGAAGATGATTGAGAATGGCTCTATAACGATGAAATGTTCTGCGTTAGTCGTAAATGGCGGAGAAGGCCATATTCATTCAAAAAAAAACTTTCATCTTATCTTGTTTAGCAATTATTTTGAGAAACTGCTGTTTTGTAGATTGAGTGATTTTTGTGATAAAAATAAATAAATCCATGTTTGGTTTTTAGACAAATTATTCGACAAGACATGCCATAACTGACCTTGATAAATAGATATTGACAAATTCGACAAAGAATAAAGTGTTTGCTGTGCCTTATTATACCTAAAATGGTTCACTGTTGGTCATAGCATAATCATTCGCAAACATAGTCACTATGCTATTCGAGGTTGCACATCTGCCTCTCATCAGATCATTTACACGGAAGACTTCAATATAATACTTATTATTCAGAAGTCCGTGCAATTGAATCCGGAGTGCTTTATGACTCATACTTGGGTCCTTTATTATTCGCCATTTTCATACACAACTTACAATGCTCCTATTTGCTAACAAACCCATTTGCAAGTAATACTGGTTTTCTAGAAAGTCCTGAAACTTCGTTTGACCGCCTAATCTAGAAATAGAAAAGGTTTATGTTTGGATGCTCTGTAACACGATAGTACACAATCGGTCTATTTGCAACTTTGATAAAATGTCTATGAAAATCAAAAAATATGAAATCGAGCTTGTATCTGTAACTTTGTAAAACTAATCAGAATTAAACATTGCCAATTGTTTTCAGTGTTTGTCAATGAGGTGCGAAATTTCTCGCGTGGTAAACATACTGAGCAAACTTCATGATAACGCAGATCCAAGTAGCCTGCATTGGATACATCCAATATTAATTTTTTTAAACGTATATTCAATATGCAGTCATCCTCTACCTCATACTATGTATAATTTCTGATGGCATGATTGTATTGCTTGTTTATTGTTCGTTTCTTTTCTGTCAAGCAATTTGATTCTTTTGATTTTTTGGCCCTTATTCACTTTTGAATTTGATAAATTGTCTGCATACCGGTATTTGGTATGCTTGTGCTTATGTTCAGGTTCAAACTAACTCAATTTATTTTGAAACATCATCTTAATGAATCACACCTTCTAGATATTGTTTTATTATGCATGATCTGTATGAGTGATTCCGGTGGAGTATCGGGATTTTGAATGATCTAGTAGGTATGTTTTTTCCTAAATATCTATCAGCTAGCTGCTAGATAGCAGCCTACCCAGTTTTATCTGCGATTTTAGTCAATCTGAATCTTGATATCTGCCCTACGAATATTTTATCATATATATGTCTCTAATGCTCAGCCTCCAACATACCACCATTGCGAAAATATTCAGGAAACGTGCCATAGTTACCACTAGGCTTGCACGTAATTGACAAAAATCAATTCCGTAATTACGGCCAAATCGATTACGTAATGACCCCGTAATTGCGATATTTTTTTCACACATTTAAACCTATCATAACAACCAATTTAATCCACTTCTGTTCCGAATGGGACATCGAAGTTTGGTTTTCATATTCCCGGCAGTACTACACGCCGGCGACAGATGTTAAAGACAAATATCAAGGAGTGAATTCAAAATAATTTTATTCTGATTTTTATCTTTTGTATTAGCTTTGATTTTTTTTATCCACTTTATCGCCAAATTTTATGCGATCAATTTTATTATTACCAACACTGGTAATATATTTAAGAAACGATAGTTCACTTTTTTAAAATCGTATTAACGTATTAATACGACTTTCGTATTAAATAAAAATTCAGGGTTGCTAATTTATTAATCAACTACAAGCGTATTCTCTCGTTTGATTATACGTTCGCTTGCCTCGCGACGAAGACTTGTTATTTCACCGTTTTTTACAATATCCGACTTTACTACTTAGTTAGCATTTTATAATAATTATTGATGCCAACTTATTGACGATATTCCGATTTCTATGCTTCATTTTACATTAAATCATTTCGCGGCCTAAAAGTTATAACATTATTTGCGATAGATTCAGATCAAATATTAATTATTTGCGCATTATTTAAAATACCGTACTTATATGACATGCCTTCTCTGAAAATACAAAGTTATATCGCAAAACAATGCATTTTGTGACATTTATTTTGCACATTATTGAAAATATTAATTTATTTTTTTAACTCAAGTCGACAATCCTATTTGCCAAGATTGACACAAGTTTGGTCGAGTGCTGGTGGTATTCGAGTTGACAATAAATCGGCAATAAGTTGCCGCATTTGGTAAAGACAGGTAATCATGTTTGGCCGCGTATTGCGAGGCATTGTGAAAAACATATTGAGCAATGCCAAATCGGTAACAGAACATCAAGATTTTGTAATAGAAAATGGATCTCGCGCAGAATAAACACGGAAAATTCCGTCGTATTGTTGTTTCTCTGCCGTCTCAATCGCTTTACCGATGCCGAAAATACTAAGTTGCGTTGGTTCATTACGCAATTTCTCTTCCGTCTTTATATTGATGTTTGATAAGCGCTTCATTAATTATCACGGCATTCACAAATACACCATGTTTTATAAGTTGATCTCTTACATTCTTTAGTCATTTCACCCGAAAAAGTTGAAACCAGGTGTGTTGACGTCCATCGGTCTCAACACAAGTCTATTCCTTATCTACGGTTAATATGTACTTTGGCCATCCTAGATACGTTGATAATAGGTTAGTAAATGACGCGTTATGCCTTCCCCATCTGCCTAACAAGAGAGAGAAAAACGGCTGCGAATACCGGAACTCTAACTTCTTTTACTTAAACTTTAATTTTTTACAATCGACGGAATTGACTGCTCTGAAGCGAGCTCGTTTCAATCGCGAAAGCGCTCGACCAATAATTACGACTTTACGTAATTCGTAACTTCGCTTCCGTAACTCGAAATAATTCCGTAATTCCGTAAATCCTTAAATTACGTGCAAGCCTAGTTACCACCCAAGATTTTTCAATCATTTTCCACAGTTTAGCGCCTTTGCTCCTTGAAAGACTGTTTAAACGGGGATTACCCTCCAGCCACCTAGTCCTAGACTCTAGTCCAGACTAGAGCGCAACTTCTCTGGTCGGCGAGCCAGATTTAGAAAAATGAGGTCCTCGGCGGGCCGGATTATTACAAAAAATTCTTCGGTATCCAATCTTTGTTAAATGCTCGACACTCTTTGTCAACTTTACGTTTCTTGGGATATTCCATGGTTAATAAAACTTAATATAAATCTAATTTCTAAAATCTATTTATATTTGAAATCTAAATAAAACTGATAACAGTAGTGGGGAGTGTTTACAACGCTCACTGCTTTGACCTTATATTGTTTGTTTAACAAGTGTGCTAACGCAATTGTTTGTTCACTAAGGCAATTGTTTATTTCACCAGCTCGGTGCGGTGAGTGAGAGTAGGGCGATCGGCAAATTTTTCAGGAATGATGCGTTGGACCACATTACAGAGTGTGTTTGGATACGGTCAGCGGGCCGTTCTCTAGTGAACTTGCTATTTTTTGCTAGATGAAAGAAGAAAACAAACTCGAATATTCTAGCAATCCAACTTCGCATGTTTCCTTTAGGATGGGATTGTGATATACAGGGTGTTAAAAAGTAACGGAAAATTACCAGAAGTTAAGATGAAATGCTACTTAAAACTTTAAACGACTGGCATCTTTTAACAGTATTACGGTGAAATGCTATTTAAACGACTGACACTCTTTGGCAGTTACTTTTTTAAGATTGCCATGACGAAAAATTTTATCCTAATTTTGCGTAACTTTTTTAACACCCTGTATATATATCCCGGGGAAGATGAAAGCCGATAAGACGACTTATTCATATGGCGAACCACGACCCCTCGTTAGGTTACCAGTCCATGTCGGGTATGGAATTAGTTAACCAGTTACCGCTATTTGTTTCGGGTGCATGACTCGATGATAGAGGAAGCCATAACCGACCAGTGATTACGTTTAGTACGATGCACCACAATTTATCAGATTTAGGTCTTGGAAAACATTACCAGTGGTTCAATTATTCCTCCACCACCAAGTCCATGCTTCCGAAAACAAACAATATAACTAATCCCATACCCGACTTGGAATGGTAACCGGACGAGAGGCCGTGGTTCGCCATATGAATAAGCCGTCTTATCGGCTTTCTTCTCCCCCGGGATAAATATGCAAATCCTATCCTATGTTCACATGTGGCATTTTAAAGCCGAATTTTGATTCACCCATCAGGATATTTCTTCTATTTACGAGGCCCGATGTTCCGAGGTTTATCTGGGGAGACATCAAAGATGGGAATGATGTCCTTAAGTATCTTTTATGATACACATTATAATATTACAATTGGTGATTTGAACACCAATAACACAATATGTCAGACAATATATGTGCAAAGTTCCGCAAAACAACAAACATTAGAAAAAATATCGAGTTTATTCAGATGATAATATTTTTTTGATAATAAAAATAGAATGGAAGTATATGAACCAACATCTATGAACATTTATGAAGTTTTGACACACATATATACAAACAACTTGACAAAATCGATGAACTTGTTTATACTTATGGAATCATAGGGTAATGTTGGAACATTTTTTGAACAAGTTTATCAACTCTGTCTTCCTAATACTTATTTGACTGTAACATGAAAATAGTTGAAAAAAATGTTAGATTTCAATAGGCTTGATAACTGGTTTTCGAATATGACGCATTGACGACCCCGGTTCAGTAGGTTTGAATGGTGCCAGTGCTCCGTATGGTCGAGGTATTGGTAATTCACCCTCATCATCTGGAATGTATGCATTTGGTCTTGGTTCTGCAGTAGTTGTCAGACCGCCGGATAACTCGTATTGTTTCTGTTCGTAATTTGGTTGCTGAAACAATAAGTTCGTTCATGTTAGTAGCTAGCATAATACTGCTAAAGAAACATATAAATGGTCAATAGGACATAAGCATTGTTTGGGGTTTATTTTTATATTCTGCTTCTTCAATTTGCACTATTCGTCAATGTGATTTTGCCAAGCTGCTATGTTCAGCTATTTTAACAAACATAACAACATCCAGCAAAATTTATAAACGATATTTAAAAAATATGAGATGCAATACACAATCATTTACACATTGTTGATTTAGCTGACTAGTGGCTGTTATAAACATCTGAAACGTTTATTGCTTTGTGGGTAAACATGAACAATAACCAAATCATATATGCATGGCTTGCATTCTTTATCCCCTTAACAATAGACGGAAACACCATCCACACTCATGCATAAGAAAAACATGATCATAAGCATACATGGACCATAAGTGGAACTGAATAACATCGCCCTTGTCATCAGCAGAAAAGGCATAAACTGCAACAATCAATGGCTGTCAAGTGAAAGCTTCAAATAATATCAGAATTTGACATTTGCACTGGTGAAACGAATGGAAGATTTCGATAGCTTTAATGGTAAAAATACAATGTACTTCTTTTATAGCAAATTCATGGCTTGGGTCAGAGTTTACTACATATTAATTTTACACTTAAGGAACAATCTTCATATGCACCTTGGCTAGGTAAATGATCAGAGAAAGGCATTTTACATGTTTCTTAAAGCAATTTTATTGAATATATCACATTTTTATTTTGTTCGATCAGATAAACAAAAAAGTTTTAAGAGAACTGTAACAAATTAATCTTACCATTCCTGCCTCTGCAAGTTGTTGCAATTTTTGTTCATCAGTTAACAACATTTTCGTCCATTCATGTTCAATTTCTTCAGATGGTGGTTCACCCTGACAAAATGGCATTCACAATCAAAATTTTGGAATATTTTCACATATTTGGTATGGATTAAGAATGACTTACAAACTATGAGTCATGGAACATGTTTGCGAAATACAGTTTCTAAATGCCAAAAAAAGAATTTGACCTCTTTTAACAAAACAATGAAGTTTCTTTTTCACAGTTTGGACAAAAAAAAAGTGATTCATGTCAATTAGGAATAAAAATAGATATTTTGAAATGTGGGGAAATTTGTTACAAATATATGAAAAGTCACACCTGTTCCAATCTCCTATAACATTGCTCCAATTCTGATTCTTTTTCTTTAATATTTTGTTGTAAATGAAGGGCGTTAGCCTGTTGCATCGCTAGCTCAGATACCAAGGCCATCATTTTTCTTGTCACATCTTTGATTTTTCTTGGGCAATCATTTACCTGCATACAACACAATTATAACCATTGGCTATAAGACTAATTTATGGTGACAGGTCAAGCAATATTTCACAAGCATAACCACAGTCATTGAAGCTATATCTCTGATGTGGTTACTAATTAGCTAATTTCAAGCGTGACCACGGCACCCAGCGAAAGAATTGGCTTCTGCATAAGACACAATCTTGATGCATATTCTTATAAATTTCCACAAAGCAATTCAAACTATTTATATTAGCCATACAGGCAATCATATATTTTTTTTATTTCTCACAAAAACTTGTTGCCCTTGGAATGGTGATAAATAGAAAACAAATTTTCAAACTTTTATCCTTGTATAGAAAAAAAATTGCACACCTTCTTCGAAAGTGTCAATGAATCTTCTTGTCCAGCATCTACTTTCTTTTGTACACGATTAGCAAGTCTCGATGCCTGATCAAATATTAAATCTTTATCCAACAAAGTTTCCTCTTTCTGAGCAAGTCGTATTTCAAGCTGATATGAAAGAGTTGTATAAAGTTGAATTCAAATTATGTTTGCTTATTGCAATGAGTAAAAACTATATATCCCACAAAGGTAAAATGGACATTGGTAAATGACCAAATAAAAGTGAGAGATTAATGAAAAACCAACTTCTTCCATTTTCTTGTGTAATTCAGTAGGTGTTGGATCTTTTCCGCCAAGCAATCGTACTCTATTTGGTTGTTCCGGATCCTCAAGTTTTTTCTCCAAACCTCTCATACGATCCTGACATTGAGCCAACTGAAAATATATAAATTAAAGTCTGAATTTGTTCCGAGTGTATCTCTCCTTGGAAAGGGTAGTATGTATTGTAGATAGTGCCCTTTATATGCTATTTATATACTCTTTTTGGTACTTCAGAAGTATGTACACCAAGATGGCGGACACCGGAACGCCGTATGTGTAACAGATTAGGGTTAGGCCATAATTTTAAGTAAAAATACTACGGGACCCACATGGCTGTTCACCGAACTCGTAATAAAACTAAAATTAGGAAAATTGAAATAAAATTATGGCCTCACCCTAATCTGGTACACATACTGTGTTCCGGTGTCTGCCATCTTGGTGCACATACTTCTAGAGCGCCCCCTTTTTATCATAATACATACCTGAATTTGTAATGTAATCAGCTCATCACTGAGATGAAGTCGATTTGGTTGATTTTTTCGAGCAAGTTCTATCAATCGATATTCTTCTGTAAGTTGCATTCTCAAGAACCTGTTCGCAAAATTAAACGTTAAACAAAATTAATATTAAGTGTTAAGATGCTATCGCATCATTGATAACTCTAGGCAGGTTCCCGAACCAATTCCAAAAAGTCATAATTATGTGCGAGAGGATCGCTCGACACGGACGAGTAACCAAACGAGTAACCATATCAGCCTTTAGCTTCATTGCCTTGTCCCACTATACATCAATTCCAAAGCTTCATCGATTTAAGAATTTCCGATTAATTGAATATTCTCTATATCTGATTATATCTGTAATATATCTAAATATTACCTGATTTCTTCTTCAAGTGCACGAACAGCAACATCTCCATTAGAGATCATGATATCTTGTATGTTAGATTTTTCATAAAATATACAAACTTCCTCTTCTCGTTCTACTAACTGTACTCCTCTGTCATTACGATGTTGAACAGCGATTTCATATCTTAAAACAAAAATGTTATGTCATGTTTGCAAGCTTATTCAATATGGTGCCTGCAAAATCACATAAAGCTAGATGCCAAAATATGCTTTTTAAGGTTGTTGCAACAGGATAAAACTTATTTATTTTTGCACTGTATTAGTGACTGTCGAAGTTAGTTGCATCAGTCTTCTACCATTATCTATATGATTCTGTGATAGTCCACTTTAGTGAATTTTTACAAAATCCGCAAGACCAGTAAAAGTCAGTTATTTGGTGAAGTAAGATTGCTAATACGTTAAATATAGGTTGTTGCATTTTAGAAACACCCAACTAAATAAGACGTAATGGAAATAAGTACCGTGACTGAAAATATAGAGTCCCTACTTGTGGCTAGTAGCTACTGATTGCAAAAAATACTTTCACTTCACATTTAGGATGTTTTGCTATTTCTAAATCAGTATGAACTTAAGCTGATTAGAGCTAATAATTGTTACAAAATTCAAGTTTATCCAAAAGTTTTGCTTAACAATATTCAGAAGGACCTGAGTGTATATGGTAGACCTGGAGTTCTATTGTCTACAAGGCTGTTGTTGCAAAGTCCCCGTCAATTTTTATTTATGTTTTAAACATAGTATTGAAACGATGAATTGCTTTCTGAATCTGAAAATACCCAGATAAGCGCCATATTTATCTTTTGAGCTTCAGTCGTGAATTCCCCCCAGGTTGAAGATACCAGCAAATACAAATACCTTTTTCTTAGTTGCACCATTTGTTCTTCAGCTTGGTTGTTTAGTGTATTCAATTTACTGATCTGGGCTTTCAGTTGTTCACGTTTCTCAGCCAGCTCACTCTCCAAAACAAGTGCTTTTGATCTCTCGTTCCTCAATGAGTCTCTCAACACAAGAGAATTCATATGCTTCAAACGAGCTTTCTGAAGGTTCCTGAAGAGAGTAATCACATTTTTATTAAGTGCCAAGTTAATTATTGAATACTGAACCACAGGATGTGGTTAATTATTGAATACTGAACCACAGGACGTTTCACCTTTCAAGATTGGATACAGTGGTTCGTAAAATTTCAATTTCATTTGATAATATTTTAATCTTTTCTCTCATTTCAGCAGCTTTCTGAGTACTCGCTTGAATTTGGTTGACACATTTGTTTCTTTCATTCTAAAAAACAAGAATTAGATTTAAATTAGGGTATCTGTAGTGCTGAAAGACAGAGAGACATGGTGAGATTATACAGTATGATGGGATTTGTTCTTGGAATGTCAAAATAATCAGCGAAGATGTTTTTTATTTTATTGTTTTGGGCATTAGACGACTGCAGCAAACAGGTAACCGCAGCTGACGACTAGTGTTATATTTGATGTTTCTGAAATTATATATTAGATTTATGTAAAGCAGGGATGTGCAAACTGCGGCCAGCAATGAAAAATTGTGCGGCCCGCGGAGAAGTGCCAATTTGGAATTGTGTGCCCACAAAACGATTTTTTAGTTCAATTAATTTAGTACTTTGCATCGCAAAATAAACAATGTTTAGTGCATGTAACTACTAGAAAGGCTATCTTAAATAAAGGTGCGGCCAGCGGCTTCACCCAGTTACTTGTATCTGGTCCTCCTGTAATAAAAGTGGAACACCCCTAATGTTAATATGTGTTTAAATGTTAATATGATGTTAAAGTTGTTCTTATCCTGTAATCTTATGATACGTTCTTGTATTATTATAGAATTATAAATTTGGAATGGTATTCTGCAATGAGGGAACCTTGTGTTAGTGAGATACATTTGTCCAAATGTACAGTCATTGCAGGTTAAATCTGCTCAACTTAGCTATAAAACTCAGAAATACCTTGATTATGTCATATAACTTTGCTGATTCTTGAAGGCGAACCTGGACTTCTGTGTTTTTCTTTTTATGATCAGTGATGGATAAATCTTTAGATTTCAATTCATTTATAGCTTTGATAGATCGTTGCTGAAAAAAATGTGCAAAGTGCAAAAATTCATGTAGTATAATAAAACTTTTTCCTTTCTTGATATTTTATGTATGTCCTGATAATAATAACCAAGGTACAGCGTGTGGTAATGTAATAAATGTCATAATATTGCAATTCATTATACAGTTTTCAATAACATGCATATATGTTTTTACTCCTGTAAACTTTCCAATAGCAGGGGTGGGCAATTACTTTTCCGAGTGGGCCAGTTACAGATAATAGACTTGGATACTGGGCCGAAGGCTCGAAACTCAATATGAAAAACTATGAATTAAAAACAGTTTATTTACATGTTTAAATAATAATAAGAAGCACAATGTAACCATCGGGGCATTATGGAGTTTTTTTCAACAGAAATTTATATCCATAAAAACCACAGTCATAGTTTCAGCAGACACAAGTGGGCCGGATTCAATACTTCGGTGGGCCATATCCGGCCCGCGTGTCGTTATTTGTCCACCCTCGCTTTATAATTTATACTGTTTCTTATATACAAAGAAAGTAAGGCTTCAGTAAATCAGGTCCAGACCAAAGTAATATACTCTGTAACGGTGTATTACAAATTTTAGACAGAGAAGGATATTGCTGGAAAAGCGATTGAAAACGTAAAAGTCTAATGCAAATCAATATCTGTACTAAACCTACTTCTGCTCTCATATAATCCCTTGCTTTTTGTTCCCGTTCATCTGCCTTGATTTGTGCAAGTCTTGTTAACTCAACAACTTCAGCACGTAGTTCTTCTTGACGTTTGATTAATTGTTCTTCTTCCAAGGCACAATCATCAACTTTCACCTGTTCAACTGAGGTCAGAGCATTTTGTTGTCCTAATTTTCGTTTAATTTCATCAACTTCGGACTGGAGTTGTTTTCTTTTTTCCAAAGATGAACCATCGTCTCTTGGAAACATGTCAACCTGTATAAATAACATCACATTTTCATGGTTACAATCATTGATGGGATTCAAAATTTTAGGAACAGATTCTCTTTTGCATTGACTAACAACGAAAAACCCGAATTCCACCATTGGTTATTATTGCAATATTATCACAGGTAGATGCATTCTCTTTGGAATATTTATATTCAAAAATTTTGTATATTCTATATTTGTGGATTTTTATCAATTACTTGAGTTTCAAATAATATAAATAGAAAAGTTTCACAGCAAAATCTTAATGAGGTTGATTGGAGTAGCTGCTCCTTTTCCTCTCCCATTATGTAAGTGGATCTGTATGCACTGAGTGCAAGTATACCGTAGCAAGAATCAAAACGGCTATTCTGAGTGTTTTAAAGTTATTGCAGCAAATTATTGCTGTAAATCCATTGGGTGTCCCATTTCTAACCAACCATTGATTTGGCTTTCTCCCAGATAAGTTCTGTATGTTGTAAAGCATCATTAACAACTTTCAGTTGTTGTTCAAGCTTTTTCAATTGTCTCAGGTCTCTGTCTTTTTCTCTCTGTTTTCTAGTCAGTGTATCATGCATTGTTTTCTTTTCTAACTGTGCATGTCGGAGATGTAAATCCAATGTTGCTCTGAAACATAATAATAGCATATAAACAAAAATGATTTACACAGAATAACACTATCATATATATCCAGGGTATTTAGAAAAAAACTCATTTGAATAAACATCTTTTTTCAAAGAGTTCATGAAGATAAAACTATTGCAGTCTAGGTGTACATCTACATTGGGAAATCCTAGTGTGACATTTTAAAGGATATGACTAAAATTCATTTATAGCCCGGCAGTGAGCGCACCATGCACGTGTCAGGAGTATACATGCCATAATCTCACTGATTATAATGCTGTTGCAGGGTTGTTTACATAACCATTAATCGCTTACAGCTTTCTCAGTCATTAACATTTGAAAATATGGATGGAATGATTATCTGGTAATCTGTTTTATTACAAAACCTTGACTGGTTTATCATTTTACAAACGCTACATAATCCACCATCCCCTTTGCAGGAGCATAGAAAAATCTTATCCAGACTTTACAAATCTTAAAAAACACTACATATTGTATTCATCTTGTGAATTTGAATTAACCCAATTCACCTGTCACCCAATGAAACAGCTTCTCTCTCTTTTTCAAAATCAAAATCCTTCATGAGCTTGTCATATTCTCTCTCTTTTCCTTCTAAAATTTGTCGTTGTCGATCTAACTCATCCTCTACCTGTGGAAAATTTTTTTCATCAAGAAGAATATTAAGAAATGCACTCTGATAACCATTTGAATGCGAGTTCAATCGTTGAAATCATTGGAAAATGATCTGGAAAATAACAAATAATTAAAATACCTCTTTCTTTTCTTCTTTTATTCTGAGTTTTTTTCCTTCAATGATTTTCATTTCTGCAACAACTACTTGATTATCATCTTCAAGGATTGCAAATTTCTTCGCTTGTTCCCTGCAAATGTAGGGACAGTTAAGCAAAGATTAAAAATAACTTGAATATTAAAAAAAAAAAAATGATTTAGTTAGGAATAGTTGGGTAGCTGAAAAATCTCAGACAGTAATCAGTAATTTAGTAATCAGTAGTTTATTTTTTCACCGTACATTATATACACTAAATGAATACAGAATGTAAAAGGGGGCAAAAACAGATAATTTGGGGTGAAAGGAGTCGCGAGAAACCAATTCTGGTTATCGAGCGATGACACTCATTATTAAGTCTGACAGTAATTAAAATACAATGAAAAAGTCAAACAATATGAGAAGAAATAAAAGCCAAGGAAAATTAAATTTCCAAGAGATGCCCAATACATAGAGAAACAAAAAAACGACTCCAAGCACCTATTTGCGAGTAACCATGGGACTTCAGATTGTCATCTTTTTCAAACCTAGTTGCTCTGTTGGGTAAAATTATATACATACCCTCGTTCAAAAAAATGTAAAGAACATTACAAAAAAACAGGGACTTTTTACAGTTATACTTCTCATGATTTTTACTTGCAAGCTATAGTCCTATGCTGTAGTCTATCTAAACTTACTGCAGTATTTTATTGCTTTTGTCAATCTCTTTAGCGATCTGAGTTGGAATTCCATGTATTTGTACAAGATTATTTTTGACATTTTCTTGTTCTGCAATCGAACATTCCAAGTCTTTGGAATCAACACTGTTTTGCCAATGCTTTGATTCCAAGTCTTCCTGCAACACAGTATGTCGAGAAAAATTTAAAAGTCAGTAAAAGTGGCAGAATGTTAACTGTACATTTGGCGCTAGAGATGATAAAGAAATTATTTTTTTAATAAATATCGAACTCAAATATACTTGAAAAGTAGATTATAATTTGGAAACTATCTTTACAATATTATTTTTTTGAGAAAATTGTGTTATTATCATACAGAATTCTTGATTATGTCAAGTTTCACAAAATTTTAGAAGTTTGTTGCATTATAACAGATGTTCCCAACATCCCAACCTTTTTGGGCTGCGGACCCCTATTTGTGAATCTTAGGTTTGACGAACCCCCATCCTATGTCGTATCAATTTTTGTGCCTTAATGTGATGAATGAGGTTGCTTTTTACTGCACAATTTATCGATTCTCGGACCAATTTGACATAATATTTTGTATAAATATTCATTTTACTTACTATCTTATTCGAGCCGTCTCATGAGATAAGTACATATACATATATATACTTCATATATTGAGCACATCATATATATTATATTAAGTGAATAAAGTATAAAGAAACTTGGTAAGATATTCACTAAATATAATACGCATTCACCTTCAAATTCTTTAATTCAAGTTGTCGTTGTGCATTTTCTTTTCTCAGTACGTCATTCTGTGTCCTCAATTCACCTTTCTTTTGTTCGATTTCCTCTAATTTTGGAGTTCGCTCGTAATCACGTTTTAATAAATGCAACTCTTCTTGAAGGCTGATATATAACAACTAAGATTAGATTATTATCACAACTGCACTATAAAGACAATCGCATATCAATACTCATTCACAACTCCGGGCATGATGACATGAAGTGCACTTCGCTCAAAGTTGAGTAGCGATAGCTTTACTCGGTATCTTTAATTACGAACCTAAAAAGTCAGCAACTAAAAACTAACTATGGTAACTACTGAAAATTCAAATTGTGATTAAAAGGAAAATAAATATTTTAAAATTGTAGAAATACATAAGATTAAATTTGATTATCACAATTCTTAGTATAAAACTTTCCTCAGTATCATTATTTTTGAACTTTGTGTTTACTCTTTACGATATAGATACATACGATTCAAGCTTATATTGTAGAAGAAAATCTCGTTCCTCAATTTGATGTAGTTCATTATGCCTCTTCAACAAATCTTGCCTGAGTTTCCCAACTTCTGAATCAATATTTTCTGGGAAGTGATCAGCCTTGAATGTATATAAAAGAGCCATTTAAATATAGATTCTTTGAAAATAATTATTCTGCGCTAAATATGACAAATGATATTTAGATTAGGAGTCTAAGTTATATTAGCTTCAGATTTACGAATCTCAATCCAGTTTTAAATATTGGCAATAAATCCAATACTGATGTTTACAAATTAGTTTTGTATTCTGAAATACTAAAATAATACCCTAAATACGATGCCCAATCCGCAAAGTCAACAAGCTATACCTATCAACTGCTATTAAATTTAATTGCTCTGCAAAATCAGGTTGAAAATAGAAAACATTTCATACCTTAGCTATCTCTTGCCTCTGTTTGTCAAGAACATTTGTGAAATCCTTCGCTTCATTCAACAATCTTGTCTCTGATTCTCTTTTACTAAATAAATAATCGATAGAAATACTGGAATAAAGTTCTTGATTAGCAAATTTACATTTAACAGAATTTTACAATATGAAAATTATACTCTATCTGTATTAGGATTTACATATATTTTTACATATTTATCCCGGAGGAGAGGAAAGCCGATAAGACGGCTTATCCATATGGCGAACCACGGCCTCTCGTCCGGTTACCATTCCAAGTCGGGTATGGGATTAGATTTACTGTATTGTTTGTTTTCGGAAGCATGGACTTGGTGGTGGAGGAAGCCCTAACCGACCAGCGGTTACGTGAACCACCCAACGACGGCGAGGAGTCCAGCAATCCTCTCGCACATAACCATACCTGCATGGGATTCGAACCTGCGAACCCACGCAGAGTAGTTAGAGGTGCGGTGGCGAGCGTATTCCTAACGCTTAGCCCGTTGAGCCACATCGCCGCGCCATTACTTTTGGGATTAAGCACAGAATAATCCATTTAAATCTTTATTGATTTGGTGGAAGTACTTCAATAAATATTCAACAGAAGACAAACTTACTCTTTCAGCATATCATGAATTTCGCTATATTTCACTTTTAACTCTGCCATTCTTGTCCCAGTAATTTTTCCAGCATTGAATAACTGAAAAAACATGAATTAAAATAAGACTTATTTAATCAAGATGATCAAAAATAAGACAAGTTGAAGTCTCATTGAGTAACAATGCCACCTTGATCATGCTTTGGAAGGCTTTCTGTACAAGTACTTACAATAACTTATAATTAATCGTTGTTAAGTTATTGAACTCTATTATTGTAGAGTGAACTAATTATGTAGGAGAGGATTGCTGGAATCTTCGTCGCCGTGGGGTGTGGTTCACGTGACTAACTAATCCCATACCCGACATGGACTGGTAACCGGATGAAAGGCCGTGGCTCGCCATATCATTAAGCTGTCTTATCGGCTTTCCACAGGGATGGATATGTAAATCTTATCGTATCGCTACTTAAATATGAATAGGCAGTTTGTGTTCTTAGCTTGATGGGATGAAAATGATTCGATCAATCGCACTTTAATATATGTCAGGTCAAAACAAGTCGCGACAGCGAGAGGTGGGTATCAAGTTTAGCATGTTACAAAATACAAATGAATTACACTTTGAAAACGCACATATTGCTTAAATTGTGACCGATGCTATTAAGCTAATGCCAGAATGTTATTTTCATCAATGAATAAGAAATAATTACCCACTGATGCAATTGTTCATGCGGAAAATTAGAATCAATGTGGAAAATTAGAATCAATGTAAAAAATAATGTTGCGATGATTTTCACATAAAAAATGTGTTACGAGTGGAATCGAATTATATAACCTATTCTCACCTCGTCCAAACACTGGAATGCCGGACTTGCTGATACTTCCACCTCACTTTCTTCCTGCCCTCCCACTCGAGGTGCCAATGCAGAAATCGGCCTGTCGTCCAAGCCTTCTTCGCCATCGTCTATTTCCATATTCGTCGAAAAATCAAAAATGAATTCAAAGATTCACGGGTATCACTTCTATCAGCTGGATTTTGACTACATGCTTATAAAAGTCACAGTGCCAAGACAGGCTTACACTGGCATTCCCGCTGACTGCCGGATCTCAATCACAGATGGAAGTTTACACGCAGTTTCCAAGGAAACATCACTCTTGCCACATGTGGCATCAGATATCATCGCAAATCAATTTATGCCACTTTGGATGTTTTAGCTAGATCTAGTTTTTTTTTTCAAGATCTAGATGTAAAATTTGGAGTCTAGATCTTGGCTATAAAATCTACATTTTTTTTTTCAACGTTCCAAACATTATCCAGTGGGAAATACCTTAAGATAAGTTTATTTCGACTTCATAATCAGCATAAAAAGCGACTAAACGATTGATAAAAACAAATAAATAAAAAACTGACTATAAGAAGGCAAATAAAACCATGAATAAGGTTTAAAACGTACGGCATATAAGATGGAATGTTTTGTCAAAAAGAAGTGGTACGTGTTCACTCAGCTAAAATGATATGCATAATCGTAAGTATGTAATATGTGAATGAATATTATTTCGTTATTTAGAAGTAAGTGAAATCATATATTTACGGTTAAATATATTGATGTAAGCTTGATAAAACTCATTTCTATTGTATTTGTCTACCGGTACCATATGTATTGAAATTATACAATTTAAACATATTTAGGACATGTGACGTTTTGTTTAAATAGACGTTGGTGCGATGAGTCAGTGCTTAGTATTGTATTGTTGCCAAGTGGTGAGAATAATTTGTGTAGTTCAAGTTGCTTAATCCAGGATTTTAAAATTATAAAGTTATTTAAGTCTTATTTAAGTGCTATGGAATTTGTCTTTCTTTACTTTTTAGTGCTATGAACGATGCTAAAAATAAACTGAGAAACAGCATGAAGATAGTTACTGATTGCAATACTGGTTATTAAAATTTGTTTGATTCGAAAAAAACAATGTTGCACTTCTTGTAAGAAGCTGATTCGGTTGTCAAGAAAATAGGTACAAGGAAAACCTCTCTGAAGCAACAACATCAACAGATGTTAGCTTTTTGACATCTAATATTACTGTATTATGTAATGTATATAATAAAATTTGTATGCTCTCATTTTCATTAAATTTAATGACTTCATATTTAGGTGTATTTTCTAGATGTTTTTCGAGGTCAATCTAGATGTTTTTAGTCAGGTAAAAGTCGATGGCAGAGGTTTCAGTCCGATAATTGAGGTTCCCACTGGATGTCATTGCTGACTTTACTCTCAGGAAAGCAAGCGTCTGATTTGATGTATGGAGGGTCACCTCGCCATGCTTGAACCACTGCCGGTCATCTCTATCAATCCCTCAAGCCATGTCCAGATTTTTGTCGGCACAAACACGTAATGTTCTGTATTCATCGTTTGAACTCTTTCATTTCCGTGTCCTGACAGTAGAAGGTGCGCTTCAGTAGAAAAGTAAGTGAGTGGTTGAAAATTTTGCGAAACTTCTTAGTAGAATCATACGCAAACAGAGGTTCAAGCGCAAATAACATAATCGGAGTTAGTTAGGAAGTTTTTGGTTTCCGTTTTCTAGATAACCCTGAATTTCTAGAAGGGAAAATGCACCACTACGATTGGGTTTATACTTTCAAGCCCATTTTCAGTCTTTCAGTGTTCCATCTTTTTGGCAACAGAATCAAATTGAAATATCACTACATGTTAGATCGGGTCAAAGTTTTTTTTTATTGCTTTTACTAGCTCATTCTTGGTAGAGCGTGTATTTAGTGCAGTGACCGTATTTTTACCTATCAATAGAGATTTTCTGGAAGTGTCAGACGAGACTCAAAACTGTTTTTGACTGAAATGAAGCCAGATATTATCAAGTTGGCGGTATTTCACTAGACTCAACCTTCCAATTAAACTAATGATAAATGAAGAATAAACTTGCTTTGACTTTTTTTTGTCAGGGGGGCGTTTGCTAGTTAAAAAGTCGTCAAAGGGGGCGCTGGCAGGAAAACATTTGAGAAACACTGGTGTTGAGCCTATAGACAAAACTGGGACCTCCTGAAGTATGCGCACTAATATGACGCACAACCTGAACTCAGGTTGTGTACCAGGTTAGAAAAACTGATCAAAAAAGAAGTGATCATCAACGACTCGACGTGAATGCGGGGTAACTCAGCGTCTGTCTGACATAAAAGTCCAGGTTAGTGATTAGTGTCACTTGATTTGTAGTCGAAATAGTAATGATTTATTCTACAATGGTGTAACAATAGATGCAACAATTATAGATTTTTGTTAATCGACCACATTGTATGATATTTTCAATGAACACGATGAAATAACCGCCATACCCTTCCCGTGGCAATAACATTTAGTCTGACATGTCAATTTTCAATGCTAATCGCGAAGCCACAGCTCACCATTTCCGACAGGGATATATAATGATTATGATTGCATATTAATTCCAATAAGATGAAAGCTGATAAAATGTTTGAACATAGAATTATATCACCGACTCATGTTACCCCCTTCACGACCAAAAAAGGATGTCGTGTATTCTGGTACATGATCATCGAACCCGATCGAAATATTGCCCACTTTGGTGATAAGATTACGAAATAATCGTGGCAAATGTCGACGGCATGATCACGCAAAGGGTAACAGTCTCAGCAGAGGAATTTTTTGAAGTAGATGGCAATTACACTGTAGAAGTTTCCATAAAAGCGTGCTGAGATCCACGTCTTTAAAGATACAGTTTCTTGGCGACTTTTCCGCCATGAATTCCTTCTCATCACATATTCTCGTCCGAGTGACGAGACAGTACACTCAAATACATAAATGAGAGAAATACGTCTTAGCTGAACCGAGTGACTGAACTTGTGACGTCATCCTGTTCACGAGGCGAGATCGACCTCTCGGTTTTGTTGAAGAGGATTTGCGCTTTAATTTCGCTTAGTTGTGAATGTGAACTTAAACCAAGGTAAACAAACAGAGATTTTCACACCACATCAATAGGCTACCTCAAATCATATCTCACACAAATCGTCCGCGGTGAAAACGTATCAATCCTGCTTGATTTGCATTGGTATTTATAACTGCAACTTATATTTTTGCGAGTTTGTAGTAAAACTATTTTTCAATCACGTCACATTTTATGCCATTGATACTGTCAGGCATCAATCAACAGTGTAATTAACCCAGTGGATTCCATCCCCTCTATGTACCGTTTCTTCGTAAATCTGGGTTTGGGACTGTTTAGATTGAGACAAAGATTTTTGGGCGAACAAAAAATATAAGTTTCTTCCAATCTGCTATCCCAAATATAATTTGTAATTTGTTTGTTGTTTTTGTTTCCCGGTCGAGACTGGACGTCTGCTGCGGAGAAAATGTAGCACCAATTAGCAGCATCTAAGCTTTAGGTAAAAGTGCTAAACATATGACATCTGTTTCTGTCATATTTCTTCTATAGTTCTCGTTCAAACATTTTTGAATTAGGCATATTATGTATATCTGGGTTGATGGGATGCGATTGAATATTAGTGGAAAGGATACTCACTATATTATATATGAAACGAGTTGAGTAGTAATGGACGCAATTTTTAATGAAAAGAAAGAAGAAACGGTCGATCCACAATTTAATGGGAAAGTTATTACTGCACAGCTGATATCAGAGAAAATCTTTAGTGCGCTTGGTGAGTTTGTCTATCAAATATTTCTTAGTCCGTTCCTGATTAGCCATTTTACTTTTAAACCTAACCTTTAAACTTTTGTGAAGTACAAAACTGGCTTATTCGGACAAGCTTTTTGCATTCGAATATGTTTGTTTCGATTGCGTTGGGGACTGGGGTATATCCGTTTGTCAGCTATGAAGCCCAATCACCCACTGAACTGAGCTTTGTAAGTCCTTGAATTAGCGACCAGATATGGAAAGCTGTGATCAAATACAGTCATTTTCTAATTTTGCTCGCATCACCTTAATTTCTTAAAATTAAATGAGTAATATTTAAGCTTTAAACACTTTCTAATAGACCTAGTCATTAAAAAAATAATAGGAATGTGGTCACCGGAGCAAGAAGAGTGTTCATCCTGTCCTTTCCTATACCTCGATAATATATTATAGATAATAGTTATTTTTTTGTGAAACGTTTTTTAAATGTTATAGAGCTTGATATTTTCGCATCAAAATAAAATCTGAAATTTTGATATTCTAATGGTCAGGGAATATATATGGCTAAATTGTTTCGCTATTGCGACAATGCTGTTTTGATGGATTGTGCGTGGAAATAGCAAGCCACGTAATCGTACCATATCCTCGAAGGTATATGGTTGTGCAGGGAAGTGAGTGACAAGAGGTTGCCGAGGGATTTGAGGATTTCCACATCCAGACATTTACGATGAGTAGACTAACGCACCGATAAAACGACTTGATCATATAAAAGACAAACCTCCTCACCCAAAACTATGGGTCGGGTATGAGGATAGCCAGTTAGGGTCGAAACAGCAATTCATTGCTAAACCCTAGTACGTAGACTGGCATTGTGGACGCCGCATTAGACTGCTATAGAAATACACCTTACTCGACATTCACAGACTATTCGACCAGAAAGATTAACTGGTTATACCTATTCTCATTTTTGACGTGGGATATACACCAGACAAAGGGTCACTTACCCGTGGTATCTCCAAACCCTACAGGATTTAATTAACGAAACTGAGGGGAAATATGCAAACAAGTTGAACTTAGTAAGCTTCCCGACAAAACAAGACAAAATCTTACCAATACTACAAAAAAGAAAGTTCAAATTGTGGGATTCGAAGTTTATTATGTATGTCATAATACTCAACAGTTCGGTATTATTTTTTAAGTCGGTTTCGCCCGTTTTTATTGTAAAATTTGAACATCGTAACCCACTTACTGTCAAACATGATTAGAGCTATACTTAATTATTTGATAAATAATTGAACCCACTTCAGAGTTTAGGATTAAAGGCAGGTTTGGTCAGGATCGAGTCTATGTGTTTGGATCCGCGTGTTGGCCGCATCTGAAATGGGGAATTCAATTTAGTACTCCGGTATTGATATTGTAATTTTTATTTATTTATCCAATGCCGAAATTTTGCAACTTATTCTTTGCCTGACATATTTTGCCCGCAATTAAATTTCATATGAGTGTTGTCTTATGTGCAGTAAATATTATAAAACAGAAATATCACCCGGTTCAGGTTATATTAGGCATATATATAGAGAGAAACAACTAATGTAACGTGTGTACATGGGCGTCGTTGTTAAAATAAAGGCCGATGGCCAGATTTACAGAAAAGTAGTCTTGCTGAAGAAATAGGCCACACGCAAATAGTGCACAGTTTTCACAAACTTTGTTACTCCTAATGAATGTTCCCACGGGGGTTGGTTTTCCTCAATTGATTATTCGCCAAAAATATTGGTAATACAAAACGGCAAATCTGCAAAACACAATACAATATCTACATATAATCCAATTTTGTGCGTAAAAATTTTTCCTTCCTAATATTCTGAATTGCTGAAACTGTTTCCCGCAAATTTAGTGCTTTTTCGTTCATAAGCGTAAATCCATCTTTCAAAGCCGACATTTTTTAGTTAATATTGGCGCAACATTTCGCAAATGTTTGAATTATTCTTTGGAAGCTATCTATCACTCATCACATCATAACTCTTTAGGTTTGTGTTGTGACGGTATTCAAGTCGTCAGAGAAACTTATTTGACATTTAGAAGATCGAGTGACTTTCCGGTCTTATTTGCGAACATCCATTGGACAACGATTAATCTGTTGTGACTCGATAGTTCAAGTCGCCATCTTGTTGATGTCACATTAGTAGTTAACGGCAGAGTAATCCTAATAAGTAATAGATCGAAGAAACAGCAGCCTGTAACTATACCAGAGATCAATATCCCGTTATTTGTGAAATTAAAATCTTGTTCAGTCCCAGAAGCCTCGAAACGTGTGTCGATGCTCGGTCTACAAGATAAGCCGCAATCGCTTGTGCGCTAGAGAGATCGACGTTTGAAGAGAAAAAAAATCGTGCTAACGTAGACGGTGATTTCTTTCCGTATGTTATTTGTAAGGTAGATCTGAATAGCGGCATGTTCTGTCTTGATAAATTTATAATACATTGATTGGTTAGAACACATGCTGGACAGTATCTGAGAGTTCGCAAACAACGCATTTGCGTGCTTTACTGGAGTTTGTCAAAAGGGGGAATCGAAAAGAAGACTGAAGCGCATTTTACGAACACGTCTAAAATGGATTATTTTATGTGATGGAGTCTGAATCAACGGAGGATGTATAAGCAAGACGGGAATTTGGATAAAGTTATACATTTATGTACTCATATTGTTTAAAAAAGTTCGAATTTCACCGTTTCGAAAAATGGCATCGACGAAAGTTGTAAAAAATCCATTTCAAGAAGAAGACAGCCCAAAATTGAATAAAAAAACAAAGAATGCTAAACAAGGTATGGTATATATTTGACTTCAGAACGGATTCGAAATTCAACGGGAATTGTTTGTTTCATTCAGTCGCGATCCGTTATCTATATTATATATTATGTTAATTTTATGCTGTGTGCAACGTGCTTCATTATACGTCTTCATTTACTCAAGTATATTCAAGATATATTTTATATCTCAGTCAAATCTATTATAGTACGCAAACAAAGACCTGTCGTTCTTTCCTAGCTCTCTCCCTTAACATATACACAGCTTTTCATGCAGCTTCGATATCGATTTCCACCCTGTCAGGGGGTTGCTAAATCCGCATTATCGAACGAAAGCGGACGGATTATTGTGTTAGATCGTTCCACGAAATGCGAATGGTTGCGCTGTTCACTATAGAATTTCATAATAGAAATAAAATTTCCACATTGTGGTCATACCTATAGTTAGTTTCATTGAAATATCCGAAGAAAACTTAATCATTATGCACGACGGATCTCGTATTTTTTTTTACTATGCCCGACTAAAATTGTAACTTTCTAATGTCTTCATAGTTCACTTCAATTTCAAAGCAAATATGGCGAGCAGAATATGTTATAGGTAGTCGAAGCACGATTTTTCTTCACGAATCGATTCACCCCATTTATAAAATTTCATTTCTGTCGTCTTTTTTTATAATATTTATTATTATTGGTGCGGTTTGCTAGCCTTGTTGAAAGGGCGAAAAAAACGAATCAAAAAATAATTTTTGCGTTGTTTACAGTTTATAGAGGGTTGGCATCGGCTGGTGACAAGTTCACTATTGCCGTATGCTCATATGAAAACAAATTTCATCTGATAGGATCGAAATTTGAAATATTTCAATATTTTGAACATATTATATTAATATAACATAATTATATCGCAGCCATTGATATTTTATCATTTACAAATATTTTGAAACAAAGTTATGAATGTGAACACCAATTAGAAAGTAAAGTGGAACCAATGAGAAATAACATTTCGCCTGAATCTCCGAAATCTATCTATAGTCTTAACGTTGAACTAACTTGAGCATCGTTTTAAATATATTTACCGACATGTAGCAATTTTCTCCGTAGAGTCGAACAAATCGAAAGTATTTTAGAATCATAATATTTATTTGCTCGATACAAATTGAAGAGCGAGCTTGAACGGTAATGTCTAACCAACCCTGCCTTGACTTATTTCATATACCCAACTCGAATTTTGTGATATGATGATATGACAGCGATGACTAGATACATATTCTTGTAAAGTATGGTATAGACCCATAAAAATGACAAGTTTCATCTGGGGCACTCACTCATACTGCCTTCCTTACGCTTCGACCATACTTTTCGATACCGGACTTGGCTTTTAAAACGTGAGAAAAATACTTCATACCTGATGTAGTATATATATTCATTGTTAGTCATGCGCTGTCCATAGTAAGGATGGAATGTATCCAAATGTGACCTATTTTTCGTTATTATTATAGCATCAGAACAATAGTTGGCTACCTCGGTATCGAAGGTTTTATATAAATCGTAAATTATTCTAAGTAAGCCATGCTATTTATGCATCGGCGTTCATCGACTACAAAATACTTCTTCTATCTACTTGTTTGTTAAGTGTTGGGAGTTATAAATTATATATTGCACAAATATTAATTTTTCCTAATTGGAGAAAAAGTATGAATACAGAATAGTAATAATAAGGATTTGTAGACGGTGCTGTATCATGGTGTTGTTGAAGCAACATACCTGTTCATCCTATTCCATTGCGCATATGTGTCGGTACCTTTCATCTTTTGTTGATTATTGCGCTGCAGAATGTAATCTATATTGACTATTGATTTTGATTGTGATTTTGGTGTACTTTTGTACATATCTATTCCATACGCGATTTATCCGTTCACAGTCATCAATATAATGTGGGTTTCATTCACTTCTGTCGTTATCGTATATCAGAGATATATTGAAGATTTGACAATGTGATGCAATGTTTAAGACAATGTGAATACATAACGTTTTAATAAGTCATTCAAAATTTTAAAATGTAAAAACACTGAAAAGTTTTATGAAAGTTTATGACAAGTTTTATTGTCCATTGTAGGATAAACATACTCACTTGAGCTAGGGACGTCGGTTTTTTCTGTAATAGACACATTTTATCGGATTCATTGATTCGGATTTTGAAAACAATGATACTTATATATGCTTCGTCAGATTGCAACTACAAATGATCGATCAAAAAATGAATTAATCGAAGTTTTCTCTGATCGCCTCGGTAACCTGTGTGAACTTCGACTAGAAGCGTAAAATATCGCTTGGTTCTATTTTGCCTTTATTATTAACAAAACAGCTTCTTATAGAAGCGTGAGGACCTGAAATTCAGAAATGATTTCCTCATTGAAATATTGAAATGTAGCGTACGAATGTCTACGTGCAATTGAGTTCATCTCTAATCATTCTAAACAGATTGCGATTCGCTATTTTCTTACATCGTCGAGTTTGCATAATGTATTTGCATCCATCATTGTTACACAACTAATTAAAAATTTAACGAGGTATTTTAAGGTAATTTGAAATCCGCAATCGTTTAAAATCTATTCCTCATTTATTCTGAACCTCAAATTATTATGGATGAATTATACCTATTATATTCTATATGGGGACAGCTTTAACATGCAATCTGCGGGGCAAGAAACCTATTAAACGTTGATCGTGTATCTGTGCTTGCCCGACGTTTAAAATTGACATGGGCAGTTACTAATGATCTATTGAAAATAGGATATTTATATAAAATTGTGTTAACATGAATGGTAATGGATAGCACGTAGACGTTATACCATCGTTTCGCTGAAAATGCACGACTCGATGTAATGTATACGTCATTTTAACCGTCATTCTCATCGACATCACTCTAATTACAGAACATGCGATGTTCACCTAAATGAATTATACATTGGAATATTAATGAAAATTCATTGGCATGCGTGATTAGAGCACTGTTGAAACATAGAATGCGGTGCTGTTACGTGGGATACCACATTTAATGTAGAACTATAGAGTAATGAGTTTGTAGGCTGACCCACCATTTGTATAGTTTCAAACTTCAAAGCATCGAAACCTTCTTGCATTGACTTGCTGTTGGACTAACTATTACAAAATTCCAAAAATGGCCAGTAGTCAGATCCAATGGAAAGAATGCGGTTAGTTGCTGTTATCCTTATCTTAATTATTTAAATAGTCGAGGCCAGACAAATGTTAACTGACAGATGCGCGTTTATCTGGTAAACGTTGTATTACTTCATCATAATGCACATACAGTATTGCATATGCGGCTTATGTTTATCACAGTACTTGAATGCCCAACGCCGAGTCGCTTCTTCTGAACGTATCCTGCCCCGGTCCATGTATCTTGTATGATAGGTATCTAGAGGTATGCAGACGAATCGTCTTTATGAAAATCTGTCAAGCGTCAGATTTTGCGCCGGTTCTGTCTGATTTGTGATAAGATTAGGTTATTATCGTCATTTCAGCGTCATAATGCATTGCACTAACTCCAATGTTAGTAGGAGAACTTGAACTGATTTGCCTATTTCTGATCGTGGTTCATTTGAACTGATTTATCAGTGAAACGATGTTGATATGTGGCATCATTGTATCTCATTTACAACACATCTTCAGTTTTTGATGAGAAGTTTCACTTCACGTTACATGCTTTCGACTTGAGCTTACAGTTTTGTAATACGATATATATTCCTGCAGTTATACTTCTGCAAAATTACCCAAATTTAGCGTACCGCAACATATAGATGGGGTTTAGATAAGGTTTTCGCCAATATGCGTAAGCAAGAAATTTTTTTCTGAAATACGCGCACCGAACTGTATAGATATAAATGCGTTTCGACTTATAAAGATATTTTAATTTATATTTCAAGCTCGGGAAATTATAATTCTTTGTATAATGGTTCTAAAACCTAACCTTAGGCAATCAAAAATCCGCTACCGTTCGAATCGTCCTCGTTGAATACAGCAAATGAAATATTTTTTGAAGTGCTAAAAGTAATTATCATTATCATGCCATTTATGGTGATTGGGATCGGTTAAGTAATGATTCTAACGTTTTCAGTAGGCATATGTACCTCAGGAATCTCGCTCAGTTTAGTTGATAACTCTAGTAAGCTCGCTCACGAATATGTAGTTATGTACCTTCATAAAAGATGGCCGAGCAGTATTGTATTAATTTCCACTGTCACTAAATTGTATCAAACTAATTAAATTATTCGCTATGCCAGCAAAACCAATGAATTGGCAACCTTCTATGTATTTAACATTTACACTTGACCGACAAAGCGGATGATATATTTCGTTTTTTAATTGTTTGTACGTATTAAAATAGTTCAGTTCCGTAATCCTGTTTGTGGTTTTGAGCAATGAACAGGAATATACCGTGCGAGTATTCTTATGGTTGGTCATGAATGATTAACAAACCCATAGATGTAATTTTTTATCTGAAATTTGTTTGTCTATCAGGAATTACTCTGTGTCTGACATCTAAATAATTACTTGTACAACAACTAAATAATTTTAAAATTTTTGATCTCCAATGATGTCATTCGGATGATAAAAATCCCAATGAGCATAGTGTTTTACTCCAGATTAGTGAACGATTAAATATTATTTAAAATTCGCTCGGAGTGATCGACCATATGACACTTATAATCACACTCACAAATAATGTGATATTCAACCATTGACGCGTAATTATGGTTCTGGGTTCGAACCTGAATTGCACCATTGTGCGTACTATCTAGTTACATCGTGGTGACATGCTGAATTTGTTATGTGGGGTTGATAGGATGCACACATGTAATAATTAGGGTACTCCCGAAGTATGTGAACCAAGATGGCGGACACCGAAACGTAGTTTGTGTACCGGGTTGGGGGTTAGGTCATAATTTTATTCCAATTTTTTTTCTTATTTTATTTCTATTACGAGTTCGGGGACTAGC